TGGTTTTACACTTAAGTAAACAAAAATAACTTAGTAATAATAAATAGTTTTTCTTTGTAAAGTATTTCTTTTCTTTTTTCACACCCTTATAAGACAATTCTAAAGAGCCTTTCTGGCAAGCTCAGCGTAGGTAGTCGTAGTTAACCCCTTTTTCTTCTTAAATTTTTCTAACTTTTCATATATAGAAACAGTGTAAAGAATATTACGTGACGAAAAATTCTGTGCTTCAAAGTATTGGCAGAAATTATCTTTACAGATCCTTTTCCTTTATTTATACAAGGTTATTGCAACTGCATAAACACGTATCAATTTCAGGATACAGAGAGCAATTATAGTAAAAATATTATTTTAAGAACACCATCATGTTTTTAATGACATATTAATAATAAACAAACAATTTATTTAATTTCGTTTGAAATATGTATACATTGAACCCTTCTAAACGATATAATCTATATAAATTCAAGTTACATATTAATTTTCTCATGCGCAATACAAATAAAGCACCTAATTTTATTCAAAAGTTTATCGATTAAAAGTTTCGCAGTAATTTAGGCGACAGAAAAGTAAGTAAAATTTTTAATAATTACTATGACTGGGGAGTGCGACAAGGACCGAAAATTAGACGATGCTAGTATAGACCAACGATGCCAAAATTGTGGCTCGCGAGCCGCTCGCTGCTCTTCAAAAGCTTAATTGTGGCTCAACTAATAAATAAATACATTATAATTCTAAATTTTTTATTTTTATTTTTATACCAAGAACATTAGGTATGGATTCCAATATTTTCAGGTAGGTAACTAGGGCTCCTACAGCAAAAAGTCTGGTACACCCTTGGTATTGACGAAATCCGAACCATTACTGCTTGTTGATCCTTTAAAAGAACATTTGAAAGCCAACATTCACAACTGCCAATATATGAAAGTCTCCCCCGTAACTTGATTTCTGACTTCCCTTCGTATACCAATTGTTAACATCTGAGTTTATTATCTTAAGTTCGATGTCTACAAGAAAAATACATCGATGAAAATATCGCATAATTTGGGCGCCAATAAAACTTATGGCCTTTTTTTTTAATTCTACAAATTTTTCATTATTATTTTTAAAAGGGAACTGTGTAATACAAAAGTGTATTACAAATTAACATTTCATTGTATATTCATTATTGAAAATAATATTTATTATTGTAATTATTCATTATTGTAATATTCATCATTGCAATATTCATCATTATATATTCATATTAATATTCAATATATCAATATTCATATTAGTAATATTCATTATTGAAATTATTGCTGTTACAAAATGATTATGAAATTATTTCATAAGTTTGCATTTTCATTTGTAAAACTGTATAAAAAATACTTACATTATTATTTCAGATATCATTCATCTCTTTTTTGTTATATTCTCAAAATGAAAGACGTATTAAGGTATGATTTATATGAAAATTTTTGAATGAATGCTTTTTATTACAGATTGATTTGAATTTTACAATAATATTATAGAAAATTTACATTTAATTTTGAAAATATTAGTATTAATATAAATATATTCTCAACTAAAAAAAGCCATAAATTCCACATCATTATGATATCGCAGACGAAAAATCTCTGATTTACAGAAGTCAATGCGAGTTCCCACAATAAGGGAACTCACGAGTCTGTCGGATACAGGCTGTCAAAAAACACCAGCAATTTTTTGGCAGTTTACGTTCCGATAATGTTGAACCTCATTTGAGCCTTGCAAATGCCATTATAGATACAATTAATTGGCTATGTCGATGCCACACAGCAAATACAAAGTGATGTGGAGTTTCATTCACTGTACACTGCATTTATTTACACGACTGAATCTATAATTAGAATAATTATAAATTACAGATTTGGATTATTATTCTTCCTCCTAAATGTTATATATGCCCTGTCAGTTTACGAGAGAAATGAACCCAAATCAGGTAGAAAAGAAAACGTTGTATTTTTCAGATAATAATTCCATATTTATGAGATAATTTAATACATTTTTAGGAAGACAACGGAGGATTGTTGGAGGTGAAATCGCTCGTGATAAAGAATTTCCTTATATGGTATGTTTATTCATTTAAACTTTTATTAAAGATCAGATATAATGATTTACTTTACAGATATAAACTTATTTGATTTAGGTAGCATTGTTCAGAAAAATACATAACATTGACGACTTTCGTGCGGGTTCTACATTAATATCAACACAAACAATACTTACAACAGCGCATTGTATAGTCGGGTAACGTTTATTTCAATTTTTTTTAACTCTTTTGACGAAAATCTAATTTGATCCGAATTCGGANTATAAGCAACCTTCTCCTCAAGCCCAGCCTGTCCAAAACTTCCTCATTTGTTATTTTCTCCGTCCAACTTATTCTTTGCATCTTTCTCAAGCACCACATTTCAAATGAGTTAATTCTTTCCATCATTTCATGCGTAAGAGTCCATGCCTCACATCCGTATGTTAGTACACTCCAGATCATTGTCCTTAGGATTTTTATTTTCAGTTTTATGTTAAGGCCTCTGTTTGTTAATATATGATAAATCTGATAAAAGGCAGCTTTTGCTTTATTAATTCTGCTTTTAATTTCCATTTTACATCTATTATCACTTGTTATCCAGCTTCCCAGGTATTCAAACTGATATCTATCAAACAGACAATATCTATCTCTCTTTAATTTTCTCGCTCAAACTGACCTTACGTATGCGCTACGGCAACTGGTAGTCGACCAATCAGTGTCTCCGCTCGTCCGTAGCTCTACTTCCGGTTAACATATCCTTTCAACTATGAAAAGTTTGAAGGTTGAACTTTGTGAGTTAGATAATGATTGGGAGCGAAGTGCGAATGTAAAAAGGAGCATCGTCGCATTTGTAGGAACGGAACCGTGGCGTAAACCGAGGGCTACCTGTATTATAGAAAATTTACATTTAATTTTAAAAATATTAGTATTAACATAAACATGTTGTCAACTAAAAAAGCCATAAATTCCACATCATTATATAATGATATTGCAGACGAAAAAATCTATGATTTACAGAAGTCAATGCGAGTTCCCACAATAAAGGAACTCACGAGTCGAATCTTGGCTGTCGAAAAACACCAGCAATTTTTTGGCAGTTCACGTTCCGGTATTGTTGAACCTCGTTTGAGCCTTGCAAATGCCATTATAGATATAATTAATAGGCTATGTTGATGCCCACAGAGCAGAGATCGAAAAATACAAAGTGATGTGGAGTTTCATTCACTGTACACTGTATTTATTTACTCGACTGAATCTATAATCAGAAAAATTATAAATTACAGATTCGGATTATTATTCTTCCTCCTGAATGTCATATATTCCCTGTCAGTATACGAGAGAAATGAACCTAAATCAGGTAAAAGAGAAAACATTTACAGATAATACTTCCATATTTATGAAATAATTTAATACATTTTTAGGAAGACAACGGAGGATTGTTGGAGGTAAAACTGCTAATGATGGAGAATTTCCTTATATGGTACGTTTACTCATTTAAACTTTTATTAAAGATTAGATATAATTTACCTTACAGGTATAAAATTATTTAATTTAGGTATCATTGTTCAGGAAATTACGTAACATTGACGAATTTCGTGCGGGTTCTACGTTAATATCAACACAAACAGTACTTACAGCAGCACATTGTATATCCGGGTACGTTCATTTCATTTGTTTTGAACTCTTTAGACAAAAATCTAATTTGATCTGAATTCGGACTCTGGGAACTTTGAAACGTCATAAAATGCAAGAATTTTGGGGTTCTGACCGTATGTAGGGATGTATGACTGTGTTTGTGTGTGTAGGGGTTTTGTTTACTTTCTTTGAAGCTTAATGAAATTCATTTTTTCGTGCAATGATTACAATTAATTATTTAAATTAATACAATTAATAATTTAAAATGAGATTTGATAAAATTTATATATACATATTGTTACGTATAAAATAATTTATTTTACATTAGTGTTGAAATTCGAGATTTATATGGAAGAGTCGGTAACGTTAGTAAAAACCTGGGACGTGAAATATTGTTTGATAGAAAAATTTTGCACCCGTTCTTTAATAAAACAAAATTTCTTTATGATATCGCCGTTTTGCTTCTTAATAAACCTATCGAACTTTCACCAAATATTCAACCAGCAGCTTTAGCCGCAGTTGGTCTACGATTTACTTCTGGTTATGCCGTTTTTGTTGGTTGGGGTGACATTGCAAAAAGTAGGTTTATTTGTTTATTTTTATTCACAAATAGTTAAATCTTTAAAGTTATTGAAAAGAAAATAAAACAATTTTGTAATATATTTAAATATACAAGTGTTTAATGTTAATTATTTATTAACAACATTAAAAAAATATGTCTGTGTTAATGTTTAATACAAGATCAAGTAAAGAATACGACAATTATTTTCATGTATATAAACGTCATTGATTAATGATTCAACATGAATGAAAAAAACAGTATTTTAATGTAATTCAGATAAAAAAACTGAATATCTGCACTGGGCAGAAGTACAGTTAGTGAATCCAGAAAAACGTGGATGGATGAATTCCCCCGGTATTAAAACAACTGGTCAAGAAATACTGACGGCAACACCCGGAGTGGCTTTACTGAAAGTAAAACGATTACGTTCTTCGCCGGTCATGATGTACATTTTTCTAACTAATAAATTAATTTTATTTGTTTATAGAGGGATGGTGGTTCACCATTGATAAAGTATGATAATTCGGGTCAACACGTTGTCATTGGCGTTCTGAGTGGAGGTTACGCCGTCGTTAACGATGCTTTTATTTACATGTCAACTAGTGTTCATCACGATTTCATAGCCAGGAACAGTCGTGGAACCCTCGTATATCATGTTTTCAAAGGTTGAGATTGTTAATTTAAAAATTGATTATTCTAAATACGTAAACTCCAAACTGCAATTGCTTTTTACCTTAGCAGTAGAAAACAATCCTTTTTTTTTGTATTCTAAATATTGAGAGGAAAACGTTTTGTCAGTGTAATAAATTGAATTTCCCTCATGTAATTATTTCCTCATAAATAAATTAAAAATATGTATTTGTTTTTATAAATCACGTGTTTCTATTAGCGTGTCAGAATGGATGATTTATTTCTCGCCTACGATTATGTTTCGATTATTAATAATGTTACCAAAATATGAACAGATTAGCATTAAGCGAGGCAAAATAAAGGAAAATTATTGATATTTTTTAATCTAGTAAATGTACGCATATAATATAAAGTTTCAATTTACACTTTCCTTTGGGGCACAGAATCAAGAGTATACACGGACTACAGAATTAAAATTTTTGTTTTTAATTGTAATATGTTATTGTGAGAATCGCAGGGGGTCAGAGGTTAATCCCTTCTGATCTCTTAATCTGCACGGGATGCTAAAACCCAATCTCGAGATCGTTGGATAACTAGGAGGGCGAATCGAGTGGGGAGTGCGTCAGTAAGTCGGCAGAGGTTCGTGGACAAACAAAAGACAGGTTTTAACATAACGAAACTATAAAATTTATTGTAAAACTAAATCTAGAAGATACAGATCTATACGCGGATAAATGTGGGTACAAATTGAAGTGGATAAATGCGGTTACGACTGCGAACAAATAAATTCTTAACAAAACGCGTGCTCGACCTAATTTCCCTATTCTAATGCACTTTACGCAGAGAAAGAGAGAGAGAGAGTTTACAAATTTCAGCCCTCTTTTAAATACCTCTCAGGCGTATTGGAGAGTCGATGTGGAGAACTTCATTCATATGGACGGGTCATTGTCACTGATGGGTTTCCAACCGGTGTGTTCTCCTCTTCTTGGGTCCAGTCCAGGTTATGGAAGTCCGGGAGATGAAATGCACACAACTACCGATTGATGTCCTGATTAATCGTTCCTCCAAGCTTCCGGTGACTTTCTCCTTTATCTCCTTGTCGTGAGAAAAAGCGTCACGTGTTCGTTCAATGTTGACGGTTACGGTGCCAAGTTGACACTTATGAGTTAATTTTCCCATTGGATTGTTATGACTAATTGTAACCTCTGCTCTAATTTTTCCCAGGATTGTTTTGATGTCGAATTTGTTTACAAATTCCTATACAAATGTGTAAATTCGCGAAACTCACACCACGTATGCTACCGTATATACTGTACTGTACGTACTGTAATTGTTCGTGATATCTCGTTAATTAATTTTTTAATTTAAAATTTCTCTGGTATTCGGAGTTTCAAATTTCGAAATGTGGTCGGAACAGCTATTCGAAATATCCAATTCATTAATTCTTCAACCATTTCTATCAAACCTTACGATATTCATTACATCTAGGTACTAAAATATTTTATATAAATTCCTTTATATAGCAGTGTAGACTCAAAATTCGTGTATAAATAATGATAATTCATAGTATAATTTGTTTTATTGTGATCAATCGACTTCTTAATCTAACAAAAAATGAGGCTCTGTTACTCTTCAATAAGCCCTAGGCTTCGAAAAACTTGGATCCGTTCCTGTCTGAAGGGGAAACGAATGAAATTATTTTAATCGTAGACACCAGAAATCAGAGAGTAATCGCCAAAGATTTGGCAGGCTACATTTACACTTCCTACGCATCGGACACAGCAATTTGGAGATTTCAAATGTTCGAGTCTCAAAATTTATTAATTATCACAAAAAATATTGCGTGTTAATTTTCTTTCGTTGGACTTTGAATTTCGGCAGTTGATCGACGGGAACGAGTTGGAAATGATTACCTAAGCCGACAACAAAATATAATATAATCGTTCTTAGGGCAGGTAAAGCATAATAACTTATTTTAGTTGCTAATGAATGGTGAAGAAGCAAGGGGTTGGAATTGGTCAAAAATGAAAACTTTATTGAATTAGAATTACAACAGAAATAATAAACAAATTTAAATAAAGAAAAATGCATATGTACGAAAGAAAAACAATTTATATAGGATTAATCGAAGAGCGGGACACCCATTTTAAAAATTAGATGGAAAACTCGTGAACCGGGTGGAAAATATAGATTGTTAGATTTTCGCAATTGTACTTTGTACAACTTATAACAATATCTTAAAAGGAAATTACACAGTTATCCGTACTCGAATTACAGAATAACACTGGCAGACCAGTTAATTAATTAACCAAACATTAAGTGCGGAGAGAACATTAAGTATTCGTTCGAGTTTATATTTAATCATACCCAATCACCTCGATCTATACATTGTTGTATAAATAATTGTACAATTAACGCAGATAATAT